GGAACCCGGTAGAAGAGAAGGCCCAGGTTGGCGTACAGCAGCAGGGCCCCGTTGAGGAGAGACCGCGCCAGGCGCGAGAAGCAGACTTGGCCGCCGCAGCCGGCTCCTTGGACGCTCGCGGCAAGAAGTACTCCCGGCGCCTCGCAGATTGCGAAGGCCAGGGGGCAGGCGAGGGCCCAGGCGGAGCGCGCGAAGGCCGAGAAGGCGGAGAAGGAGGCGCAGGAGCGGGCGCTGATGGAGGAGCAGGCGTTCGTGGAGGCCTACTCGGCGTCGGCGGCGGCGGAGAAGGAGCAGCAGGCGGTGACCCTCAAGCTCGCCAGGGCGGAGGCTGCCAACGCGGTGGCGCAAGCAGACCGGGAGGCGAAAGCGCGCGCTGCCGCCCAGTCGTCGCAGGCGGTGGCGGCCGCGGCGGCGAGGGCGCAGGAGCGGCAGCGGCAGGAGCTGGCTGACGCGGAGGTGGCCGAGGCGCGGAAGCGCGCGCTGGCGCTGGAGGCCCGGGTGGCGGAGGACCGGAGACGCGCGGCGTTGCCGGCGGAGCAGCAGACGACGGCGGTTGCGGTCGGGGCTGTTGCGCCGGCGATCGCGCGGGCTCGCGATGAAGCCGAGGCGAGGCGATTGCGGGCGGAGTTGGAGGCGAAGCGGGCGCGGGAGCGGCGGGACGCGAGCGAGAAGCAGGAGCGGGAGAGGAGAGAGAGGGAGAGGGAGGAGGCCAAGGCCGCGCGGGAGAGGGAGGCCCAGGCGGAGAAGGAGAGAGAGGCACAGCTGGACAGCGAGCGGAAGGAACAGGAGCGGCGGGATCTGGAAAGAGATCGGCAGCTGCAGCAGCTGCAGAGGCAGCAGCAGCAGCAGAAGGAGGTGAACGAGTCGTGGGAGCGGGAGCGGCGAAGGAAGGAGGAGCAGAACAAGGCGAAGGCCTTGCCCTCGACGGCGTTCTCCAACGACCTCCTTTCCGCCTCATCCAAGACATCGTGGGAGGCCGGCCCGAGGCAGTCGAGGAACCAGTCGGGCACGGCGGTGGGGCGTGGGGCCGGGGCGGGAGGGGGCTTCTTTGCCGCCTCCCCCGTTGGCGACATCCCGCCTTTCCGAGGGGAGTTGCCGCCCGCTGTGGGCTCGCCGGAAGCCGCTCCGATCCCGACGTTGGCAGCGATCGAAGCCCGCAGCAGCGCATCAGGCGACGCTTCTGCAACAGCTGGTGAGATAGCAGCGGTGGCAGGCCCACCGCCTCCGGAGGAGGATGGTGAGATGGCGCAGCTGGCGGGGTCCCGGTCGGTGGAGCCGAGCGCAGCGGCAACGGCTGCCGCCTCCATGGTTCCGGTTGTTGCGGGGAGCGGAGCCGCCCCGGCAGCAGCGGTGGAAGCGGGGGCTACAACGAAGGATGTTGCGGATGGAGGAGGAGCTCTGGAGGTGTCCATCCGAGCGGAGGACGGTGTCGTCGCAGCGGCGGCGGCGGCGGAGTTGCCGGAGGAGGTGGCAACGGCGGCGGTGCTGGATGCGCCCCCGCCGCTGACCCAGGCGGAGCGCGACGAGAACATCCTCCGCGCCCACCTGGCGTCTTGGCGGTTCTGCTTCCACGAGGCCGCCGCGCTGCTCACCCCCGTGCTGGGCGCGGGGTACGTGGAGACGCCGAACGGGACGGTCGGCGGCGGCGGCGGCGGTCGCAACGGCGGTGACTCCGGGCCCGTCGGGGGGGCGTTCCTGGTGTCATCTACCGAGGAGGTGGACCTGCACTCGGAGCTCTGGGCGAAGCTCGTGCAGGCGGAGGCGCTGATGCTGCAGACCATGCTATCGGTGTCCTCGGGCGCGAACAAGGACACCATGGCGGCGTGCGAAGCCGTGTCGGAGGCGCTGGAGGTCTGCCTGCCGCCTTCGAAGAGCCGGGACACGGTGCGGGACGACATCGCGTTCAAGCTTGCCGCGGCGGCGGAGGTGACGCGGTCATCGGTGAGTCGATTTTGTTTCTTCTTTTTTTTGCCCGCTGCTGCTGTTGATGGAGGTATGCTTGGTTTGGTTTGTCCCATAAGGTAACAATCCCCCGTTCACTGCTTGCTGTGAAGACTTGAACCCATCCCTTTCGACTGCTGTGGTATTATCTCGAAATGGCAGTCTTCCTTTTACCGTTTGTAGATTTACTACTAGAACTTATGGCCGCACGTCGTCAAGTTTTACAGGGACCGCGCTCACGATGTCGTGCGTTGGTACCGTGAGCTGGAGCCAGTTTGTAACAAACATGTGCCAGGCATTGTCATAATAAAGTAAAGCGTTTTGTTCTATCGTAAATCGCGGGCCACAAGGTTTCGGCAAGATGGCCAAATGTGGGAGTTTTAGTTTTGTGTTGAGAATTGTAGACAAGCCCTCTGCGAGATGGGCGATGTATTTTGCGACTTGAGTGTGGATGGAGCACAAGATGATTTTGCATGAGCCCGATGCGGCTCAGTCGCTAATTTTGGCACTGGACCACAGAGAAACGAGAGAAAGACACGCTGCTCCGCAGCAGCCGGGGTGGTTGGTTGCCCTGTGATAACCCCCCTCCCACACACACCCCTTTGCCCCCGTGGTCCCTGGATTTGCAGCGACCGGACGGGTCGTCATCGGCTTCCCAAGACGCGTATGAAGCTGTGAGCTTGCCGCCCACGCTGGCGGAGCAGGTGAGGAAAAGGCAACTACAGCTGTGTTTAAGGCTTGAATAGACCCAAAAGACTTGAAATAGCCCGGTACCCAGCCGGTTTGACTCCCCCTTGCCTCTCTCGAGACTTGAACCTATCCCCTTGGTCTACCTATGGTGGTATTTCAAACAGGTAGTTTTTCTTTGACTGTAAGTATATTTTCTTGAAGGTTTTGATGCGGTGTTGACTGAGTAGAAGTACATCTTTCTCCCTCCCACTCCCACGCCCACTCCCACTCCCACTGCTATCTGTCCGTCAGTCCGTACGTTGCATGCTGGGATTGATTTTTGAGATTTTGCGTTGTCATTGTTGTTGTCTTCACGTTAGTAACCGTTCCGATCTGTCTACCTATAATAGTACAATTCTTCTTCTGTCCGTAGTGACATGACACTGCTGTGTGGTGTGGAGTTTTTTAAGACAAGCAAGCATGTTTTGCCCTCCTTGCGTACTCTCCTTGCTGGTGGTGGCATGATCGTAGCCGCGACTAAAGAAAGTCCGCGAGGCGCACAAAGGCTGTTGCTCCGTTCTTCTGGGATTCCCAATCGCTTGATAAAAGTTCCGGGTGAGTACAGAAAGAATCTTACGAAAGTCGTCTTTCTTTGAGTACACAGCATGGAAAAAGCTAGATGCCATCGGCACAACCGTAGGATATTGACTGACCAAGAACTGCAACCCATACACACTGTTCAGCCCTGGCTAAAGAAACTCGGCGGGTCCGCTTGTCAATATCGCACACGTCCAGCAATTAATTCACACGCGAGCGCAGCCTACAGCCGGATACTTTTGGTAACGGATAAATATATAGAGGTAACGGAAGGATATGTGGGAAGGGAGAGGTCTAGAAATATATCTATGTCTGATCGGGGCGAACAGCAGCAGTGGTATTACTTTTCGCGACATATTAGGCAGGCACAGCTTGTGTCGTACTCCTGTGCCATAATATATACCTCCCCCATGCCGATGAGAGTCTTGCATCCTCCGCAACACCAACAGGCGCTGCTGATGGAGCTGGAGGTACTGATGGTGAGGGTAGCGATGCAGCTCATGGCCGGGCACCTGTTGAAGGCGGCAACCTCCACGCGAAAGTTCCTCAAGACCTCCAACTGGCTTCTGAAGGTAAGGTATTCTCAAGGTATGGTAAATGTAAAAAGTCGGTACAGATATCGAAAAGGCGAAAGCTATCCAATGTCGTTGGGTTTTTTTTGTTCTCCGAACGCCTTCGGGTTGTTTTTCAGATTTGACGCTGACAGGCTTCACGAGCGGCGTGGCGTCGATTGTTGGTAATCGTGTTTCAGACCGGTTTCTCTTTGTTGGATCGTTTTCGAAGGTTTGTGGTGAAGTTTACCCTGTGGTTTCTAGCGGTGGAAACCCGACGCTTGTTTCTTGTTCGGAAAAAACTTTCGGAAGTACTGGTAACACGAGCGAGTTAGTCTAGATATTGTTCTTATTTGCCCACACCCCAATAACGCGTACCGGAGCGGTGGGATAATCTGCACGCGAGAACGAGTGACGCCAACCCTTCTGAAGGAAAACGATTCCTTAAACTATGCCTGTCTTTGTCGGTTTGGCTGCCGCTCCAAGGATGACAAGCTTTTTTTTTTTTCGTGATCCCGGGTGTTGTCGGTGCATGCGCGACCCCCCCCCCCCCCCTGTGCAATGAATCACTGCAGGCGAAGGACACGGACTTCAAGACGGCCAAGCGCGCAAGAGACAAGGCAGCAGCCGCCGCGGCCAGCTCGGGCGTGGGGATCATCCAGAGCTTCTTCTTCAAGCAAAAGGCGCCCGCGCCCGCCCGCCCCGCCGCCGCCGCTGGGCGCGGCAGCACCCGGGCCGTCAACGGTAAGGTGAACGGTGACCTAGCCAACGGGAGGAAGAGGAGCGACGGCGGGCGTACGGGGTCGTCGAGGTTTTCGAACGGATCTGCGCCGGGGACCGCGGACGAGGAGAGCTACCGGTTGATCGAGGGGGCGGTGCCGACGGAGTTCGCCGGGAGAGACTGGGTGGGGTACCTCCACCACGTGGACTTCATCGTGGCGCTGATGCACGTGGGGACGTCGTTGATGCCCAAGGGTCTCGTGAAGGTATATGCCTGCAGGTCTAGATGATCGTGCGCGAGGCGCGGAAAGAAAGAGTGAAGGAATGTTTGTTGACGAGGACGTACGTGTATGGACGTTCCGCAGCATGCTGTTGTTTTTTGTTTTGCAAAGAACTCGGGGCGAATAATCGAACGTGTGGCGTGCGTTCCTACGGGTCCAGGAAACGAATTAAAATATCCATAGGGGCAGCGGGTAAGACTCACGGGCGCGGTCCATTGAGAGCGGACGGACGTCGAAGGAATGGAGGGGCGTGTTGTCAGGACCACACCCGTGGTCTTGAAACGCGGAGAACTCTGCCGATCCCCCTCGCTCACCCCACCACGAAATCCTCCCTTTTTCCCTCTCCTATATTGCGGATTAAATTAGAAGCTCACTGTCTGCCCCCCGCGCTATCCCCCTTTTTTTTCTCTCCGTACCCTCCCCCTTTTATTCTACGGTGCCCCCCCCTCCCCCCTCCTACACACTCAGCTCATCGAGCATGTGGTGGGCTACACCCCATCATTCGACAAGGGTCTCAGCCTCCTCTCGGGCTGCTGCAGCACCAAGGGCATGCGGCGGCCGTGCGCGGTAGCCGTGCTGGAGCTACTGGTATTCAGAGAGGTATGGTATGGTGCGGGGTGCCTGCCCGCTTGGCGTGCGGTCGGCTGGCGGCGGTGGTGGTGGTGGTGGTTTGTGGCTTTTGTCGTTGCTGGTACCGGTGCTCCTGCTGCTAGTGTTGCTGTCATTGCCAATGTTGTAGCTGCTGCCTGTATTGCTGATGTTGTAGCTACGCTTGCGTTGCCTCCACTGCTGATGCTCCTGCTGCTAGCTAGTGTTGCTGTCATACCAATGTTGTAGCTGCTTCTTGTATTGCTGTCGTTGTTGATGTTGTAGCTGCTGCTTGTGTTGCTATCGTGGCTGATGTTGTAGCTACGCTTTTGTTGCCTTCACTGCTGGTGCTCCTGCTGCAAGCTAGTGTTGCTGTCATTGCCAATGTTGTAGCTGCTTCTTGTTTTGCTGCCGATGTTGATGCTGTAGCTGCTGCTTGTGTTGCTGCCATTGCCAATGTTGTAGCCGATGCTTGTGTTGCCATCGTTGGTTGGTTGTTGCTGCCGCTGTGTTGGTACTCCTGCAGCCCGTGCTCTGTCCTTGTTGTTGCTCCTGCTGTAAAATTCTCCCTCCCGCGCTCACCGCTCGGCGGCTGTTAGTGTCATCACACCTCTGACGATTTCATCTTAACACTCCGACGAGCCCTCGCCGAATGGAACCTCAATCTCCCACCACCCCACCCCCGCAGATGAAACGAGAGACGAAACTCATGAAGGCCGCGAAAGCGGTCAAGCCCGCAAGCTCCCGCGT